GTCGCTAGCGTTAAATCATTTACACGTTGCTGATAAAAAAAAAGTTGCAAACGTTTTGGCAAAAATTTGTCTCGCACATGCGCATGATACCGAATTATTGGCTATTCGCTTAGTTATTCATTTGCTACCATCTTTACATGGAACGTTTTTTGATGCTGCTGCTAAAGTCGCTCTGTTATTCCTTAACGAGAGCGTTAAAGCTGGACATGTTCAACTTTAGCGCAGCAAGGCAGAACAATTATTAGACCCCGCGAAATTAATGTTATATACACTTCAGACAATAGATTGTTTGTGATATTAATATTTTATACTCTGTCACTATTTATGAAAAATTAATGATATAAAAAGTAAAGTTTAATTTTACGTAATATATTTAAAGATTGATGTTATATTGTTACACATTTAAATTTAATTGTGATGAATATTTAAACTTAAACGTAACATATGTTGATATAATTGTTTTATTTATAAAAAAGTATTTTTAATATTAATAATTTTGTTATTCATTCCATTCCACAGCACAAAACTCAACAGAAATGTTGCAGAAACGTTTCAACGTTTCAAGTAACACTGAAACGTCATTATAACATCTAAGAAACATAACATATTAAACGTAACATTTGAAATGTTTATACAATCTTTCATAAACATATTTGTGTAAAAATGGCGGACATTTTCACGTATTTAAGACGTATATAAAATATTTTTGAATAAATTCTGCGAAAGTCTCTGAAATGTTTTGTGCTGTATGGGATTCATCTTCTGTTTACATGACAAACATACGTATGTATATCATATTTTTTATGCACAGATATATTTTCATATTATTCTTTTGTAATTTCTAAAATTTTCTTTAAATATTTATATTTATTGATTTTTGTATAAAATTTTTAGTAAGTTATTTGTTATTAAAGTAATCAATATAGAAAATTAGAATCTTTTAGTAAAAATAAATTGCATGCGTACAAAACTACTAACTGTTGAAATAGAAAATCGGTATAATAAACTTCCATACAATAAATTGCGTTCTCAATCAAACAGTTTCGAAGCCAATAATATACACAACAGCTATTATTCTTTATATGTTTCAATTATTATATACAATTTATCACTTAAAGTATACGTTAACATATGTACATAAACTCATATAAAACCCAATTATTAGATAAAACTATTTTAACAATTAAAAAGAACCAAGCTTGTAAGACAAACAGTTATAAATTCTTTATAACTTTAATTAATCTAATCTTGCGTTTCTTTTGCAACTTTCTCTTTAATGCAAGAAAAATCTTTGATATTTAAAAAGATATTTTGATCAGAAACACAATAAAAACAGTTTCTTTAAACGGTGCTTTATACAGTATTTTATATATTGCACAGTATTTTATATATTGCACAGTAGTGTATATCTACATATGTATCTAGTTGGATATTTTATAATAATTTAATTTACCTCTATACATGTCATTTCTGTAATTATAAAAAAATCGAAAACAGTCCTCTCGAAAGAAAAACAAGGGCTATTTCTACTCATAATAAAGTTGAACATTGATTTGAAAGTTGGGACTTTTATCACATATATATTAATTTAACTATTTGTGTGGAATTTTGCATCATTACTACAATGACTTATTTATTAAATTATTTGCGAAATAAGTTTTAATCTAATCTCACATTATGTACTGTTCATCATGTGATTCAATGGAATAGTAGATTTTTATAAGTTATATGATGCATATTTATTACTAGGATAACCCATCCTTCAAATTATCGATGTCCATGAGTACGTGTCATCAATATCGAATCTGTTCAGTATTATTTTAAAAATGACACTGTGAGAGAAAGAAATGAAGTCGGTAAGAGATCATTTGTAAATTATAAGTATTTTTAAAGGCTCCTATTTGTAAATATTTCCACAATTTTAAAATCTAATAAGTTTCAAAAAAATATGTATAAAATGTTGTGTATGTACACTTATATATTATACAGAGTGTCACTTAATTAACGTCCAATATTTATATAGCTATATTCCTCGTGGAAAACTGAGTCGAAAAGTCCTGTACCATTTTTTTCTGTAAGGTATAATAAAGTAGTAATTATACAGTAACGTTAATACGTTACTGAATAATCACTATTAATAACGTATTAACGTTACTGTATAATTACTACTTTATTATACCTTACAGAAAAAAATGGTACAGGACTTTTCGACTCAGTTTTCCACGAGGAATATTGTTATATAAATATTGGGCGTCAATTAAGTAACACCCTGTATATAAAATAAAACTTTAAATCATAAAAATTTTATATCAATAATATAATTCAAGCATGCGTTAAAATATAAGTATACTAATTATTAATTTTTTCGCCTATATTTGTTCAATATTTTTTCTGCATAACAATTCATAAAAACAATAACGAGACGAGATTTATACTTAAAACATAACTGAATAAATTAAAACTTGTACAGTTTTTGAAGGAAGGATTATATCTTAAATTCCGCGTATGATTATGATTTTTGTAGCGTTGTCATAATATGCGGTACATATTTAATTTTATTCCTTTGTTGACAAACTATGTATGTCAATATATATATATATATATATATATATATGCATAATTTTATAAATTAGAAAAATTTACATACATACTCAACTTTTGCATAAAATTAAGTATGATTTTTGCTTCAAGAAGTAACTACACTATCTTCAAAAAGTTTTGCAAGCGAGCCAACATTTCCTAGAGCGTTCGTGGAATTTAACGACAGAATAAATAAGAAAGACATTTATGTGACATAAGGTAAATATATATAATAACTCTCAAGATAAATAAGGAATATTTTTTTTCTTAAATTTGGTACTTTTTTAAGTTTTATTGTATACAGAATGTTTCTTAAATGGTGCTCAAAATTTGAGAAATGGATTTCTCATGCTTAGAGAAAAAAAGATATACATATGTATAAACATAAGTCCGGAAAAGATTAGTTTTGTAGTTATTTAGATTCATGTAATACAAATTTTTTGTCTCATTTCCCGTCTTACAATTAGAGGAAATGTTCTAAATGTCCACCATCTATAAACATAGGTCGGCGAACTTGAAACACATTGTTGATATCTTTGAACGAGAACTTTTAAGACGAGAAAGAGACAAAATTTTTTGTTATAAAAATCTTACAACTCAAAAATTAATTATTTCCGGACCTTAAACGGACCAAAAACTAATCATTTCCGAACTTTAAACGCGGCATTTTAAGACGAGAAATGAGACAAAAATTATGTTCAAAAATCTTAAAACTCAAAAACTAATTATTTGCGGACTTTAAACGGACCAAAACTATCCAGATAGCCATAGTAATTATTATGATGTCATTTTGATGTCATAATAATTACTGTGGCTATCTGGGTAATCATTTCCGGACTTATAACTTTTTTCTTCTCTAAGCATGAAAATCCATTCCTGAAATTTTGCCACTACATTTGAAATACCCTGTATATGGAAGGTGGTACAAAAAGAATCAGAGCGGCGAAATATCTCGAAAATATTACAAATGTTCTAAATAAAAGTTGTAAAATTTAAAAGAAATTTTTACTAGCCTCATCAGTTTGATTTTAGATAGCGTTTTTAAGATCATTTCAAGATCAACCCGATTTTTAAAATGAAACTATTCTATATGTCTCGTGTAAATAGATAGTTATATGTAAATGGATTTCAGAAATTTGTTAAAAATAAAAAGATAAAATATTTTATATTCTTTATAGGTGGAACAAACCTAAATTTACAAATGGAGTGATACAAAAATATACAGTTCAATATTGGTTTATCGAGAATCAAATGATTCGCGCGAAGAAGAGTTGTTATAATCTCAAATATCACGATATTGCAATATAAAGCGTACAATTTGAAACTTGATACAGTGTATTATTTCGAAGTACAAGCGCATAACAAATTTGGTGCTGGCTCTTATACTAAGTTTATCAACGTGTCGACCACACATGAGAATCCAGTACTTTTATTACTCGTCAATAAGAAAAGTAGAGATTATGTATTGGATATAGATTTACAGATCGGCTTTGAACGTGATATATCTATAATGTGTACTGAAATTGTTTACTCACCATTGGAACATAAGATTTATGGGATTACTTACGACTCAGAGTTAATAACATTGGAATTTAATTCGAACGCAATCGAAACAAATCAAAATTATACAATAATAGCAGAAATGGGGGTCTATGCACATTCTCTGTGCATTGATTGGATTGCTGGCAGTCTTTATTGGTTAGAATATATTGACAATCATATTTACATTATGAAACTCGACTTAATATTACCACAACAAAAAGGCATCAAAACATACAAAATGCCACTGACTGCAGAGTCTGCTTTATTTTTAACAGTATTGCCATATAAGAGGTACATTAAATTTAATTAATTTAACAAAAAAATTGAACAATATCTTATATTTCTTTTAATTATAGATTTGTGTTGTTCTATAACTTGTGAGTAATTTAATATGCAGAATTTATATTACAGATTCATAAGTAGTGGAATCATAAATTTACATAGAAACGTATAAGATTTAAATAATCACATGTTAGTTTGTGATAGATAATTATAATAATGTTTTAATAGAAGTGAGAAATATGTGTGGGATATGAATTGACTAGGTTCGATGGAAATCCAGAAATGATTGTTTTTTCCACAAATAAAATGTAATATAGATATTTTATTGGGATTTACGCGAATACAGAATTTTGAAGGAATGGGTATATATATATATATGTGGCCTCGACGGCAGTCGTCACGATCTTTTACATGTGTTCGCTCGCACGGTCTTTTCCCGACTGCCGTCGCTCGCGATCGCGTCAACACGCCCGAGTTTTCACGGGCATCGCCAAGGTCCATCAAAAACCCTCGCAAAACAATATAACGGGTGGAGCGGACAGAAAGCCGTGCTCCATCCCACACTCGGCCATCCGACGACTTCTGGCCTCAGATGTCTATTCCAAAACAGCGTCTTCAGAAGAATCGCTCCAAGGCTTCATGTGATCCGCCGCCGAGGATGTCATACGAGGACCTTCTCCTTCGCCAATCTTCTGCACTATGTATCTATCATTCCGAAGAACTCGTTTAATCCGATATGGACCAAAATATTTCGCAGCAAACTTCAGACCAGGTCCGCCTTGTGTCCGTTTAATGGCAACCAAATCATTTTCCTTATATATACTTGGTGCTTTTCTCTTTCTGTCATAGCTCCGTTTGTTTTCTTCCTGAATTTTAGCGATTGCTTCTTTTGCTTGTCGTCGCGTTTCGCTACGTTTCTCTAAAAATGCCGCAGCTTCTTCTTCTTCAAGAAGATCCTTAAGTATGAGATCTTCTTTCGTCTTTATTTGCGTGCCAAATAAAAGATAAAATGGCGATGCGCCTGTGCTTCTCGAAGGTACGCTATTTAGATATCGCTGAGTTCTCATTACATATTTATGCCATTGAGCAGGATTCGGTGCTGACAACTTTGTCAACATTGGAATCAAAATACGGTTAATCCGCTCAACTTGCCCGTTTTCTCGTGGGACTCCGGTAACGACAGTGATATGCTCAATATTTTCGTCTTTACAATAAGTTTCGAAGTCATTCGCAGTGAAAGCCGTTCCTCGATCAGAAATGATCCTTCTCGGATTTCCGAAAACAGCGCTCTGTTGCGTCAATCTGTCTAATACTTCGGCTGCGCTTGTGGATTTCGTGGGGTATAACCAGACAAATTTCGTAAAAGCATCGATTACTACGAATAAATGACGATACTTCTTTTGTGTAGACGGCAGGGGACCCAAATGATCCACGTGATACGTATCTAGCGGACTTTCACCTTTTGGGATAGGATGTAAGCAGCCTTCTTGTTTTCCAGATTTTCTCTCAGCCAGAATACAGCTAATACAATTTCGGACAATCTTTTCGATCTTACTACGCATTCCCTTGAACCAATAATTCATCTTTAGCAGCTTCTCCGTTTTGTCTGGACCGAAATGGCCACGCTCGTGAGCTTGTCGTATAATATTGTTTTGCATTAGCTTTGGAACTACAATTAGCGTATCTCCGTTCAACTTCTTGTGTAAAAGTCCATTTTTAATAACGTATCCCTCCGCTTGGTTACTTATTGCTTGGTCTCGGATGCCTACCAACTCCTCATCTTCTGCTTGATTTTTTTGCAGCCTTGCAATGATGCCCTCCTGACATTCCGTTATGAGCATTGCAGTTGGCAATGCATTTCGACTGAGCGCATCGACATGTCGCATACTCTTTCCGGGCCGATGTTCGACAACATATTGAAAATCCTGCAGGAACAAAGCCCATCGTGCAATCCGCGTGCAGACGTCCGTCTTCTTCATTGTTTGCGCGAACGCCTGACAATCTGTTACAATTTTAAACGGTATACCTATCAAATAAATTCTAAATTTTCGCAACGCCTTAATAATTGCTAAAACTTCCAACTCGTAGCTATGAAATTTTGCTTCGCTATCGGTGGTCTTGCCACTTGCGTAGTACACCGGATGAAAAAGACGATCTTCGCTATCTCTTTGTAGTAAAATAGCCCCGTAACCTTGTGACGAGGCGTCCGTGTGCAGCTCCGTTTCCGCGTTTGGGCAATAGATTCGTAAAATAGGTCTTCTCGCCAAAGCCTCCTTCAACTGATCGAACGCGCGCGTTTCTTTGTCACCAAAAAAAAATTTAACTCCCTCCTTTAACAATTCGGTCAGAGGATGTGCAACAGATGCATATTTCGGGATAAACCTTCGGAAATAGCCAGTCAACCCTAAAAAGCTTTGCACCGCTCTTCTATCGTTCGGTATGGGAAAATATTTTACCGCGTTAGTTTTTTCGTCGGAAGGTGTAACGTCTCCGTCCTCTATAATAAATCCTAGATAATTTACTCTAGTTTTCAAAAACTGGCATTTCTTCCAATTTATCCTCAACCCGTACGAACTTGCTACTTGTAATACTTCTTTTAAGTGTAATAACTCTTCTTGACAATTTTTTGATGGAATAATCAAGTCATCCATATATATTGACACGACATTTTTCGCCACTAAGTCAGCAAATACTGCGTTGACGTATTTTTGAAAATATGCTGGCGACGTACTTAAACCGAAAGGCATGCGCAAGAACTCGTAGTGACCGTTTGGAACTATAAATGCCGTATATTTGCGACTATCATCCGCCACGCGAACATGAAAAAAACCATTCTCGAGATCTATTGTACTAAAAATTTTAGCTCCTCGCAAACGATCAATCTGGTCCTCTATAATTGGTAAAGGATACCGCGTTTTTATTATTTTCTCATTAAGTTTCCGATAATCAACGCATACTCTCGTAGCACCATTTTTTTTCTTAACCAGCACGACCGGGCTGGCATAATCAGAATACGATTGTTGAACAATGCCCTCGTCTAACCATCTGTGTATTTGTTCGTCAAGCGTCCTTTGTTCGGGTACAGCCAGCCTACGAGCACGCTGGTATACAGGAGTCTCGTCCTTCAGCACAATGTTTAGCTCGATACCTACGTCTCGAATTTTCTCGGGTTTATAACTCGATATTATTTCTCTTATTTCGTCTTTACACTCTCGATCCATAATGTGCTCTATGTTTACATCGTTTACTTCATCGCCAAGGTCGATCCTGTTTACAGCAGGCAATTCGGAAAATGCTTCAGCAGTTTTTGAAATTTTAACGACACCTTCTTTTACTTGCAACTCGACATTATTTAAAAAATCTGTTCCGATAAGAATCGCGTGCTGCAACAGCGCATCAGGGACCACGTGAAACGTTACGCCGAAAAAACATCCGTCCACACAAACGCTAACATATACTTCACCTAATGTTACATTTTCATCTGAGCCAACACCGCGAAATTTCATTTGCCTCTTAATTAACGCCGGCGCTCCGATTTTAACATAAGAATCCGCGCGCATCAGACTGATGTCACTCCCGGTGTCGATTAAAGCCGATAACTCGACCGAGTTTATCGCAACGGTTTTACAACAACTTTTCGTCTCACCCTGCGTCGCGTTACAGTTTTTTTCTTTATTCGTCTGTTTGTTCTCTACCGTAGGACATTTAGCAGCAACATGTCCGTGTGTGCCGCATCGAAAACATTTAACGCCTTTTCTCTTCACCGAGCATTCCGCGATCAAATGATTTTTATCGCCGCAAATGTAGCACCGTTTATCAATTTGCTTACTATCGTTTTCCGCGCGTATAAATTTCCTTTTCCGATCCTCCGTCTTGGAATGCCTAGATCTAATTTTCATTATTTCGTATATATCTAATTTATGTTTCAAGTCCGAAATACTTCTCGCGCCGTACAAAACAATTTTATTTACCTCATCGTCCGCTATACCATCTATTATATATTGTATTACCGCGCTGATTTCTAATTTCGCCCTGGAGGCGATTTCCAACATCTGATAGCAGTATTCGTGATACGTCTCATCAGTTTTCTTCTTCCTCCTTTGTAATTGAAAATGTACATCGTGGCTATTGGTCTTCTGGGAAAACTCGCGCTTCAAGACAGTTCTGATGTTCTTCCACGTCTTCCCTCGTGCTTCATACTTTACGAATAGCTTTGCTGATCCACGCAAAAGTCTCCTTACATATATCGTCTTTTGCACGTCGTTCCACTGACACAGGCTTGCTGTTTCGTCAAAATCTCTGATCCACTGCTTAACGTTCTTGCCATCATCACCGCTAAATGTATCGATAGCATCTTCAACGTCTTTAAATGTCAATAAACACCTCTCACGTTTCCGTAACGGCTCCTGCGACGGCCCTTGCCTCCGGCCATCCTCCGACGCATCACTGAGCTCTGACTCATCACCAGACTCGCAATCCACCTGACCGCGCACACCACCGTCGTCGCTACTCTCGTCTCCGTCCTCCTGACCCTCGAGAAACACCGCCGCCCGAAACCGCTCCACCAGATCAGCTTTGTTGCCTGTCGTCCTCAATTTTCGTCGTCTTAACTCGTCTCTAAGCTGGACAATCGTCATAGCGTCCGCCTGCACAACGTCTCTCGCTCCATCGTTCCGTGCGGTTCCGCCGTCGCTCATCATTACACCACCTTCAAACCCGCCTCCTTCCATCCGATGCGTAATCCCGGACGAGCCCCCAAAAATTTACTTGTAGGATATGAATTGACTAGGTTCGATGGAAATCCAGAAATGGTTGTTTTTTCCACAAATAAAATGTAATATAGATATTTTATTGGGATTTACGCGAATACAGAATTTTGAAGGAATGGGTATATATATATATATGTGGCCTCGACGGCAGTCGTCACGATCTTTTACATGTGTTCGCTCGCACGGTCTTTTCCCGACTGCCGGGTCGCTCGCGATCGCGTCAACACGCCCGAGTTTTCACGGGCATTGCCAAGGTCCATCAAAAACCCTCGCAAAACAATATAACGGGTGGAGCGGACAGAAAGCCGTGCTCCATTCCACATATGTATATTTTTCAGATATTTGTATTGAACAGAAGATTCTTTAATAGTTCAAACGGATTTCAACGGAAGAAACAAATTACATATGGAAGACAATAAATGCTTCTGCCTGAAGACATTTTAGGATTGTTACAAATTAAGTACGCTCTCATGACGATTGATACAACGAATATTGACGAGCCACTAATATATTGGATAATAAACAATGAATATTTAATCGTAACGGATATTAATGGTTGTAATTGCAATATGATTTTAAGATCTTCAAATCAATCAATTTATCGTTTTGATGATTTATCAATTGATAGTATAAATATTTACTTGTTTGGTTATCCAGAAATATATATAATATTTTAAGAAAGGGAAATGCTCTTCTCGAAAGCCAAAAAAACATATTTGATAGTCTTCAAAATATCCATTTTGGAGAGTTCTATTATTCTAGTATCATAACTCTTGCTCAAAGTTTACAACAACCATATCCCCCGAAGATATGTCTAATACCTACAAAGGATTATCGTGTTGAAGAAGTGTCAATAACTGCAGACAGCATTAACGTGAACCTTCCGGAGCCGATTCTCAATGATGAATGTAAAAAGTACAACTTAGTTTTATATATAACATTTCTGTGAGTTATTTCAAATGTTTAGACAATGATCTTTACAAATTCAAAGAATTTTATGTCCAAACGTACGAACGGCAGCACAAAATTCCGAATTTGACGCAGTTTACAGAATACACGTTAAAGCTGGCACTAAGCAATTTTTACATCCACAAGAAATCGATGGATTTGCAATTCGGCCCAGATGTAAAACTGATAACTACGAGCAAGCTCTATGCACCGGATGATGTAGTAGTTCAAGTTGTAATGCCAAATCTGGCGGTAATTGATTGGATGCCACCGAAAAAATTAGATTGCGTGGCAGTGAATTATGAGGTGAAATGGATGCAATATTCAAATAGCACTCAAGAAAATCAAAATTCGTTTCGCTTCATAAAAGTCAATAAACTAGAACATACGACAAATGGCAAAATTTTTGCGGTAATTCGGTCACTGATACCAAAGCAAAAATACGAGATATACGTGAGTGCGTATCCAATTATTCGCACAGGTGTCGTCACTGACAGTGTAATAAAAACATTCTACATGGCCGAACCGAATAATTTAAGTTTGAATGGGATCGATACAAACAGTATGAATATCTCGTGGATTCCAAGCGTTAATCTGACGATTCCTACTGAATTCCTTATACTGGAATACAAAAATGCTGCGTCACGGAAAAGGATATGGGAAATTGCAAATAATATTGAGAAGAATAATGATAAAATAACATATCACATAGAAAATTTATTACTGCAAACTAAGTACAAATTTCGTTTGAACTTAAAATATACTGAGTATAAAGAAGATTTCATATGGCCGTCTGATGGAGAAGAATTTATTTTTGAAACACTCGGTAAGCAAATGAAGACGTTATGATAACATATGTTTACTTTAAGAATATCTTATCAGTATTTTCGCATTAGAAATTGAATAATGAAGTTTTAAGTAAAATATCTTAATAATAATTGATAAATATGTGCATGAAGAATCGCCAGATAAAATTAAAAATAAAATAATGAACACCCGATCAAACTGGCATAATTTTATTAATTCATTTTACAACGTTTTAACCATGATTTAGGTCCTCAGCAAGTGATTTGCGAAATGTAGTTTTAATTTTAAGAAGTAAGCGAGTGAGTACATTGTGTAAAGCTGACGTCACGTCCTTGACATTACTTGGCTTACTTCCTAAAATTTTAACTACATTTCGCAAATCACTTGCTAAGGATTTAAATCATGGTCGAAACGTTGAGAAGTAAATTAATAAAATTTTGCCAGTTTGGTCGAGAGAAGAGTGTTCATCATTTTATTTTTGAGAAATATGTGTCGACAAACTGGCAATTTATTAATCTTATTACGTTTCATCCCTTCCTTGGTGTCCATTTCAAGTAATGTAGTTCTTAGATATTATGATAAAATATCTTAAATAAAAGTCCAATAAAACGAAGAATTGTACTCTTGTGTAACAAAGGTGATGCAAGAAAGATTCCTAGCGCAACTGGGACAGCTATGCAATATTATCTGCCATTATATTATGTCTTATTGTAATCATTGTAATATACAATGTTTATTACTTTTATTGTAGTAAGTATATTTCATATAAATTTTGGATTATTATTATAAATTGTTTAGATTTGGTGTATAGATATACGAACATATAAAATTTGAAAAAATCGGCATTATTTCTTAAAAAGAATTAAGACATTGCAATGCGTAGCATTTTGTCGTGTATTAAAAGTTTTTTTATATGACAGCATACAGGCAACACAAAGAAAGTAACGAAATAGTTTTGCCTCCAATAATGATGAATACGGAATTACTACCTTTAAATAAAATACCTTTCGGGTGCACTCAACTAAATTTGCTGAACCCTTCTAGATTGCAATATAATTCAGACGAATTTGCGTTGACCATAATCGAAAAAAATCAAATTAGCCAAACAAAGTTTCTAAGTAGCGGCGCATTTGGTAATGCAAGTATTAGTTTGTTATTACTTAAATATATTTTCAAGATATTTTTTTATTTTTTAATCGCTTAAATTTATGGTAAAACATACTTTTAAATAAAAGTAATTGTTAAAATTAAAATTTCTCTCAAAAAGTCAAACATGATAAACTTTTTATCTTACATTTTATCGATTTGTCTGTTATTAATTATGTAACATTTCACAGGTATATTAAGGAATCATCAATGATTTTGAAGGATTGGACACAACATCAGTTGCGATAAAAATGCTAAAAAACAAGCTTCTTCGAAAGAGAAAAGGAATTCTTGAAAGAGGCTAAACTTATGAGCCACTTTCAACATGAAAATGTGCTAAGAATATTAGGCATTTGTTTGAACACGGATTCACTGTTACTTATATTGGAATTAATAGAACCTGGTGACTTATTGAATTATTTAAGAATTAATGGAACATTGCAATCTTTAGATTCGTGCGCGTTGCGTCTGAAAGGCTTGCTCGCCATGTGCGAAGATGTTGCTCGAGGCTGTTGTTACTTAGAAAGGCAACAATTTGTGCATAGAGATCTCGCGTGTCGAAATTGCTTAATATCCGTAAGAAATCATGGAAACCGTATTGTAAAAATTGGACTAGCTAGAGATATTTACAAGGATCACTATTACCGTATGGTAAATACAATTATTTGAGAGAGCTAAAACTTTTTTTTTATTTTTTCATAATAATACAATTTTAAGCTGGTTATAACGGTAAAAATAAATTATTTTTATTTGTATACCTATGAAGAAGGGAAAATGAGAGTTGACTGTATGCGCATAACGCTTGTTTCTAAACTTCTGGAGGAAGTTCGATAAAAATAACTTAATTGTGCTATATAATTGTTTTAGAAAGGAGACCGCCCGCTTCCTGTTCGCTGGATGGCACCAGAATCTTTGGTGTTTGGAATATTTACTTCACAAAGCGATGTTTGGGCTTTCGGAGTACTAATGTGGGAAATTATGTCATTGGGTGAACATCCTTATCCTGGCAAAGATACTTCCGAAGTTTTACAATATGTGCTTGAGGGAGGCAAACTGCCAAAACCTCTCAACTGTCCACCGATGTTGTATCAGTTGATGTTACATTGTTGGAAATCTGTTATCGGTAGACCAAACTTTACAAATTGTCTCAAAAATATCAAAACCTTAAGAGATAACATAGAAGATTCGATACTTATAATAAGTTCGTTGGATATTTTTGGACATAGAAAGACGAATCAATCGTAATTCTTTTTATGTGTATATATTTTTGTATGGAGCAATGAATTTTTGCGATTCTAGATAATATCTATTAAGAAAATATGCTTTTATTTACTTTCGCTTACATTTTATAATATACGTTAAACGTTACATTTAATCATTTTTTTACTAATATTACAATTCAAGTCATAACCTTATTTACAATATGTAGAAATTTTATTATGTTTAATATATTTTTTAACTCACAGTTATATACAATACTGCAATCAAGTGGCATTTAAAATATAATTTGTAATTATTATAAATAATTTACAAAAAATTGTTATTTGCAAATTACATGTCAGAGATGTATACTGATAATATAAGTTTCTTTTCAATTATTTAAAGAATGTCAGACTCTTAAAAGAGGTAGATATTCGACGATATTTTAGTTTCCTTGGGAACTGGAAATTTGTATATTGAAATTGGCTTTTTTTCCTTATGCCGTAACTCAGTCGAGGTTTGTAATTTCAAACGGGGAGCAGTATGGTTAATTCCCTGGGGTACGGGTGTATTTCGCTTTATTATTTATTTGACGTACAGCGTACAGTTTCTTTGGCCGATAAACTGTTCGAGATAAATATGTGAAACCGGTGCGGAGAATAAGCGTGAACGCCTAAATAAATAGAGTTCCATCAACCACACACTCGTGAATATCTGATTTAATTCTTCGAGACTTATGTTTCGTACGCAAAAACAATAATTGTGTGTGTATACTTTTATAATAAAATAACTTTAATTCTACATTTTCTTACGTATATATTTAAGAG